ATTTTATCAGCCACTTTATCCTTGTTCTTTCTACCTTCCTGAACTGCTGGCAGTGTGGGATATGCTTGTTTGGGGCACTACCCTTCCTAACCCAGTTCTTTTATGTGCTGTTACATGTTCTATATTTAGGGTAGAGGATTTTTGCAAGTCACTGGGGAAGCTGCCAAATGTACAGTGTCATGTCAGCATGCATGAGCAATGAGGAAAATTCACATCTCAGGAAATGGTCTAAGTTTCTCCCTTGTCAAAAGCCAGGCAAAGAAACCTTTATAGATCAGGCAGGTGCACCCATATAGGATGAATGAATCTCCACTATCTCTCATGATACTACTATAACATTAATGATGTTACCACACAGAGAAAACATCACCTCAACAACCCTGCATTGGCATTTTTAATGTGGAAATCCTTTGGTTAGTTGATACCCAGGCAGTACAAGGCCCAGTGGCTGGTGTTCCCAGGGCTGCCACTGGGTATCCTCTCCTCCTTTGCTGCATACCTACTCCATAAGGCTCCATCCCCTACACCCTCCACACTCCAACATGCTCCCCAAATGCCTTGAAGGCCTGACACTTCCACTCACAGACACTCTGGAACCTGGCTCTCCTCCTTTCCCTTTGCTTTGGGCCTTGACAAAATTTCATGGACAGGCCCCAGAACAGTATGTTCTCCACCCTGAAAACTTCCTAACATCAAGGCTCCACACAGTCTGAGGAACAAACTAGCTACAGGCTTTATCAATTCTCTAATTTCAAAGTCCACATATTGAGTTTATTTATGAGAGATAACTTAACAGCTAGGCTTTGGGGTAAAAATGTAATTATACTTCTCATATGTGCTTAGACTGTCTAATCTGCCCCAAACTAGGACTGTGCCCTATACATTGATAGGGGCACAGTCACTCAGCAGTCTTTCTGCAAAGCTATCTGACAACATGTAACAGAAGTTATAAAAATGTTCCTGTTCTTAGGCTTATTATTTCTACTTTGGGGAGGATACTGCAAGGAGACAATCCAAAAATAACTTGTTAAAAAAATGCTCACACACAAACACACACAAATGCTCGTACCAATAATATCCTCAAATGAAACAACAGACATATTATTGACCCAAATAATCAAGAATCAGAGTAAAATCAAAATGTTAACTCATCAAACAATAAAGCTCTTGAAATAAATACTAAGTAAGTCACAACACTCATTGTAAATATATGTATGAAATAGTATAATTTTAAAAAAAGTATTTATAAATGGACATAGGGTTTTGGAGAGATATAAATAATATTTTAAGGTTAATTACTACTTCTGTCATGTAAATTGTTCTAATTTCAAAATATAAATAAATAAATAAATCTGAAAAACAGACAAACTAATTTTGCACTAATGCCTGAAAAAAACAAACTGAGTTGAAAACAATGAATACTGGAAATCTGCTAAATCTCCTGAAATTTCATTTGTACATATATCTTTATATATATGCATTTTAGATACTATGTATTCACATGCATGTATACATAAACCTTTATTTATTACTTTTCTAATAGATATGTGGAGTCCTGGTGAGGAGCTGTGGGTTAATGTGCTGGACCACAAAGTCAGTTTGAACCACAACATCGGCGGTTCAAGCTCACCAGCTGCTCCTCAGAAACCAACTCAATGCATCAGAACCATTTAACAACAAAAACATATTGTGTTTTTTGTGCCGTGGTGGTGGTGGTTGTGTGCCGTGGGTTCAGTTCTGACTCATAGCAGCCCAGGGATTGTAAATCTTAGAGGAACAGAAAGCCTCATCTTTCTCCCACAGAGTGGCTGCTGACCTTGCAGTTAGCAGTTGATTTGTAATCCACTATGCTCGGAAACCCTGTGCAGGGTCGCTATGAGTCAGAACCGACTCCACGGCACATAACAACAACAACAACAACAATGCTACCAGGGGTCCTTAATATATATATTGTTGTTTTTGCCGTCATAGCAACCCTGTATAGGGTTTCCAAAGAGCAACTGACAGGCTTGAACCTGTGGTTTGCAGTCCAGTACTGGTCCTACAGCACCACAACAGGAGTCTTTAATATGTATGTAATACACAGTAAATCTAATTATACAATCATTGTAAGAAAGAAAGAAAGAAAGAAAGAAAGAAAGAAAGAAAGAAAGAAAGAAATGAGGAGAGAAACTTGGCTTCAATAGCAGGCAAGTTTACTAAGAGTAAACCCAGGAGGGGGCATTCAAAAGTCACCAGAGCCCAAGAGCCTGCCATTGGTCTCTTACAGACTGGGGTATTTAAGACGGTGTGGTACCAGGTACAGTTCTGGCGAGCTTCCAGTGGGTGGGGTTATGGAGATTTTCCTGAAACCTGAAACTACAAGGGGGAGGGTCTCTTGGTATACTAAAAGACTTATGCTTTCAGGAGACAGGAAGGAAGCTTAAGCAGGACTTTATTCACTGTCGCTTGGGGGCAGCTACAATGTCATTTTGTTGATCAGGAGCAGGGTCCCTCAATCACAAATTACATTTCCTCATGAATTAATCTTCATTGATATTATTAATCTCAGTGCATTCCTTTAACAGACCCAACTTATTTTTTGCAATGAAAAGCCTCAAAACCTGAAATGAGATTTTTATATAAAATGGAAACCATTTAACAGCTTTTTAAACTGAATCCTCTTTGTCTTATTTATAGTAGCTGTTTCTTTATGCTGCTCTCTGGGTTAAGGGGTAGAGAAAATTTAAAAAAAAAAAGTGAGAGAGAAAATAACCCACAGAGATACAGGGTTTGCTGATCATTTGGAATGGAGCAGACACAGTAAAAGCCCTTTACTCATTCCCAGCCCTGCCCCGTGGTTTCACTGCCTGGAAGAGGAATGTGCTACAGCCTATGTTTGTGAGTCAAGGAACACACAGTGATCAGCAAATGTTATGTGTGTGTTGCCACAAGTCCTTTACCTGTCTCCTTAGGTGTCATGACCCTCCAGGGCCACCATCCTT